TATCTATGGCCCAGTGCTTTGTACCCTAGTATCTTTGTGCCTTTGTGTAACTCAGGTGGTTTCCAAGCTTTTAATGTTAGTTGGAGTTGAACCATGCTTATTAGAGAAACTTGGCTCTCAAACAGGGAGAATTAAACCGCAAACACGTGTTCCCTGTTAAGCAGCCCATGATTTTGCAGCTGGGTTCTTGCTTTTCTGGCCTCCCCTCTTCTCTACTGTGATCACCAACTGGCTTCTCATAGCAGGTGCTGGGAGAGGCCCTGGCCTGGGAGCCAGGCTGCCTGGTAGCAGCCCTCCCGCACCCTGCGTGGGACCAGCCTGAACCACTGAGCTGTAGCAGGTTTGCCAGCTGGGGAGTATTCCCTCAAGTGGATAAATGTGACCTGATCACCGCCTTCCAGCCACTTAGAGCCCTAGGACAGCAGCACACATATCTAATTTTAAATTGCTTTATGACAAATTATACGAGCAGATCCAGCCTGCTAGTGGAACACAGATGAGGGATCAGCTTCTCTGCCTTGGAGGCATGAAGGGAAGCTTCACACAGCAGCTATTCTTGGGGTCATACCTGTGATGAATCTCATTGCAAGAACTTGATATTCCTGTCCCTGAAGATTCTTGTCTGCAGGGGTATAAAGGGGCAGTTGTATAAGGTGAGGGGTGGGGTAGGGAGAGCCAGACAAATGACTGGGCAGAGGAAGTGGAAATGTTAAGTTTTTCATATACGATGGGGTAGAACTGGGGAATTTTCCTGACCTTTGAGTCTGGTCCTACTTACCCAAATGCCCACTTGCTCTGTAGCACCTAGCCTGAGCATTCATCTAGTGTTTCCACACCATGCTCTCCTCTCTGGCCGAGGGAACTCCCAACTCTGCTTGGAATATACCTCCTCTTAGCCTCAGGTCTGTCTGTCAGAGTTCTCAGAAACGCCCCTCCTGCTCTTCTCCATTCTGCTGGATCCATTTCTCGGGCATTTCCCATGGTTGCTTTGTTCTGAGCTGTGGAGAGCCTGTGCTGTGTGGGAAGGCAGAAGATTGTTTCTTACTTTTGTATTCTTAAGGTTATGATTTTATTATTAGTATTATTAATTATGAGAAAATATGCATAACAAAAAAATCTACCACTAGACATGGTGGCAAACATCTGTAATCCCAGATATTCAGGAGGCTGAAGCAGGAGGATTGCAAAATCAAGGCCAGCCTGGGCACCTTAGTGATACCCTGTCTCAAAATAAAGTTTTAAAAAAGGGGCTGGGGATATAAGTTAGTAGTAGAGCACTTGTCTAACATGCATAAGGTCCTAAATTCAATCCCCAGTTATATAAACAAAAAGTGTAGGAAAAAAATTCTACCATCTGTTTTTTTTTATTACTTAATTGATTCTAATAATATGACATAAAGGCCCTTGACTGGACATAATCATTATGCAAAATACATAGATGAGTACTGCCTTTTTTTTTTTTTTTTTTGTCTTTTTGAGACAGAGTCTCACTATGCAGTTCAGGCTGGCCTCGAGCTCACTTTGTAGCCCAGGCTGGTCTTGAACTTGCAAAGATCCTCCTGCCTCAGCCTCCAGAGTGCTGGGATTACAGGTGTGTGCCATCACGCCCAGGCATGCCTTCTTTTAGAAATATAAATAAGCAAAGAGGTGAAAATATGCAAATTTCCATTAAAAAATGAAAATTTTTAAAAAAAGAAACTTCCATGTCATTTTAAGAAGGGAAATTATCATTTTAAACAATATTCAAGTTTATTAAACAAATTAAAAAAGGAGTTATAAAATGTTTAACTTTCATCAGCTTCAAGGTTTTTGTTGCTGCCAAATTTTGCATGTAATTGACCTTTCAAATCTGCTAACACCTGCTGAACTGATTTTATTCTGGATTCTAAGGCATCAATTTCTTCTTGCAAATTTTTCTTTGCTTCTTCTAACATTTCTTGTGTTTCTTTTGAGAATGGCTAATGAAAAACATCACCAACTTGATCAGTATCATTAAGCAGTCCTCATCTGTGAGTATGATGTCATCAGAAGCATCTTCTAAATTCCGGAGTTGTTTCTTTTTTACTTCTATTTCTTCCTTTAGCTCTGTGATTCTACTCCTATTTGGTGCAAATTTGTTTATCTTTTGTTGATCTTCGAAAGTAACCAGCCGCATTCTTCATGGCGGCTGCCATCTTGGGACTCCTACGATCTGTTTTAGTTTGTTAGGGCTGCTATAACAAAGTATCACAGACCTGAGTTGAATGGCCTAACAAACAGAAACTTACTTGCTTACAGTTTGGGTGCCTAGAAATTTGAATCTGGCTTATGGATGGCCATCTTCTCCCTGTATTTTCACATTATCTTCCCTTTGTACCTATCTATAGCCAAATTTCCCCTTGTAAAGACACATCATTAGATTAGAGCCGCTCTAACAACTTCATTTTTTCACTTAATCATCTCTTTAAAGACCTTGTCTTCAAAGAGCTACTGAGGTTTAGGACTTCAATATGTGAATTTGGAAGGGATTCTGTTGGGGACCATAAATTATAAATTGAGGCTAGGGCTCCAGAGGCCTTAATCTTGCCACAGGGCAAGACTGCATCAGCTGAAGATATCCTGGTTCCTTGAGAAGCCAGTATTAATAAAAATAGAACTCCTCCTTTTGAGCCTGCCATCTTTCCCCACTGTCCTCATCAACATAAAGATCCTCATTAGCATAAGGTACTGCAGCCCTCTGAGTCATCCCATAATCCCTCCAATTATTATATACAACCAATAAATAGTGGGGAGCTCGGAGTGTCTTTGTCTCTGCCCATCCAGCCCCTCTGTCATGCATTACTAAATTTCTGTTTTTTCTTCATCCTTTGCTGTATCCCTCATACAGGCAGTTGGGGATCTTGGCCAGGTTCCCGTTAGAATTCATTTCAGCCTATAACACCATCAAAGCCATTTAAAAGTATATATATAGTTCAGTGATATTAAGTATCTTCACATTGTTGTACAACTATGATCTATGTTTAGAATTGTTTTCATCTTGCAAAGCTGAAACCCTGTGTCCATTCCCCTTTTACCAACCTCTGGGAATCACCATTCTGCTTTCTATCTCTGTGTAGTTGATTACTCTATGTAGCTCATCTAAGAGGAATAATACAGTATTTGGTTTTGTGTGTGTGCATGTATGTGTGTGTGTCTGGCTTCTTTTACTTAGTATAATACAGTATAATGTCTTCATGGTTCATCCATGTTGTAGCATATATCAAAATATCCTTCCTTTTTCAGGCTGAATAATAATATATTGTATGCAGAAAAAGAGGTTAATTTTAGGTATGTCTTCAGTGTCCACCAACTTAGCACACTGATTTGTCCATAGTAAGTACCATCAATGTTTGTCTCATTAAATTTGGGTTGGGTGGCGGGGTCTAGGAAGAACTCTGTAAGTACCCTGGTGTCATTCCTAGAACTGAGACTTTCTCTTTCATAATCAGTACAAAACAATTTTGATAGTGTCTGAGGTTTCTTAGATATAGCCCAAAAGTAGAGATCCAGTTTTTACCGAGGAGTTAAGGTCAGAACCAGCAATTTAGAGCTTCTTAGATAGTGCTTATTATTGATGCTTTTGGATACTTCTCAAAGTTTTTTATGTTGGAAAGAATTATTTGCATTGAGATCATACTTGTCTGGCTCACAAACTCATATCTGAATAATATTAATGATAATTTTGCACTACTATGTGCCTGTTGTAAATACACATATTCATAGCAAGCGTGCAGGGTTCCCCCAGGAGGATACAGATGAATGCTTCAAGGGTATTCACATTCGTCATGGTAGATAAGTCAACGTCTGCCAGAGACTGTCACAGGAGGGCTCTGGGTAAAACCAAGGGCATTCTACCAGGATTGAAACAACCCCTAAGACTGGTTTGCTAAGTGAAGGCTTAGGTTTTGAAGGTGAGACTGTCTCTTAGCTGAGTGGCAGCAGGCTGGAAGAGTCTTTTGTGGAAAATTTGACTAGTCCAAGGAAAAGTACCCGCAGATATTGACAATGGGGAAAGTCCCCTATAAAGAGGCTCAAATATTCTAAAGCCATTGATGATCATTATAATCATCTGAGGAGGTCTTAATACCTGTCCTGTGCCCTACCCTCACCCGCAAATGATTCCATCAGGAAATCGGAAGCTGGAGTCAGCTGGTTAGTGTTACAGTTTATCAGTGATTACTGTGTGTGGCCAGGGCTGTGAACCATTGCCGTGTAGCAAAGCCAGTGTGTGGTTGGCAAGTTCCTCCACAGGCTCTGAGTTTCTGACCAGCTCTCTAGTGATTTTCTCCTAACTGTGAACGGACAGCAAAGGTACACAGACTATGTAAAAACAGCTTCTAATCTGAAACAAAAAAACCAAAATGACCCGCGAAATGAAGACTGCACCAAAGATTTTTAAACTACCTTCTTTATCTTCTGAGAGATAAGTTATTACATTAGTGAAAAGAGAAAAACATGGAATTAAAAATTCAAAGCACAGGAAAATCTCTTAGCTTTGAAAACATGGTAGCAGAGTCACTATTGTACCACATTCTTGAAGAGAAAAGAAATTGAGAAATCTCAATAAAAGATAAAGCTGAGGAAATCTTCCAGAGTGTTGAGGAAAAAGTTAAAGAAGGAAACAAGAAAGCCAAAAAGATGAAAAATAGACGTAAGAAAATGCAAACTGTCTAGGACAGTGATGGTGAACCTCGTAGAGCTTTTTGTTTGTTTGTTTGTTTTGTATTGTGAATTGAACTCAGGACCTTGTGCTTGCCAGGCAGGTGCTCTGCTGCTGAGCTATATCCCTGGCCCTAGAGCTTTTACCGATACAAACAGCCCACTGTGGCACGTGTGCCAGACGTTTGGCACCACTGGTGTAGGAAAAGCAGTGTACAAATAATAGAGAGAACAGAACAGTAATTCCAAGAAAGAGCAGAGGAAACAGTGAAGAAACTATCAAAGAAACAGTTCAAGAAAACCCTTGTATCTGCTTTTCCCAGAATGAAGGACATGACCGAAAAGGACCGGCAAAAGCGCAAAACAATGTGTGGAAATACCTCACTCCAGTGATGAAACTTCAGAACAACACATCTACAGAGGTGTCTTCCAGAGGGGCAAAAGAGGTTCCAGACAGAGGATCGAGAAGGAAAATGACTTCTGAGCTCTCAGCACCGAAACACTTGACAACTTCTATGGAATGGCAAAGTATCTCATTTCTTTTGGTTTAAGTTCGTTGTCCATAATGTGGGCACAGTGTTATGCTGGCGTGTGAAACTTGAATTTCTTCAGGCCCCTCCAGAGCCGTTTTAAACAACAGCGAGCAGACTGCCTCTCCCTCTCAGCCCCACTGGTCAGGGCTGACCTCTATTCTCTTGTGAGGTCCTCTGGAAATCTCTAGCAGCTCTTGAGCTGTTCTGACACTCAGGGTTCACCTAACTCTGCTGTGAAGTGACAGAGGGGACGCCTCCTTGTCCACTCTGTTGGAGGCGTCTCTCAGCAGTACTAATTATACCCTGAACTCTTCTAGAATTCAAGACAAAGTGTCTTGTATTAGTTTTCTGAGGCCGCCATAACAAATTGCCACAATCTAGGTGTGCTGTTCTAAGACAACAGAAATTTATGCTTTTATAGTTTTAGATGCCATAAATGTTAAATCAGCGTGCAGCAGGGCCACACTCCTTCTAAGGTGTTAGGAGAGGATCCTTCCTGTTTGCATCTTATTGCACTCCCTGGTTGCTTACCTTAGCCACCTGATGGGATAGGGACAATAAACAGTCTGCCAGAAGCTGCGCCGGGTGACAGATCTGAGTGACAGGCACAACATTTTACTCAGAATCTCCCATCTTCCTTTTCACCTAAGCTTATCTTCCTGGGGCCACCGGCCAGCTCCTCCTTATTTCAAAATGTGGTCACTCCTAGGGGTCTTGTCCTCCCTGCTCCATAAGGCCATACAAATGCTTGCTTTTAGGTTTAGGTTCAAACTAGAACCTCTTCAATAAATATAAGTAGAGCCCTTATGAACTTATATTATATAAAAATGTTATTCTGCTTATTAAAAGCAACTGAGAGCAACTACTTCACATACATCTCTTTGTTTAATTCCCATATTTGAGCAGGGCATGGTGGTGGTGCATGTCTGGAATCCCAGCACTTGGGAGGCTGAGACAGGAGGATCCTTCTGAGTTTGAGACCAGCCTGGGCTACAAAGTGAGCTCAAGGCCAGCCTGAACTGCATAGCGAGATGCTGCCTGAAAAAGACAAAAAAAAAAAAATCTCATATTTGTTCATTCAATGAATATTTATTGGGCTAGGCATTGACACAGCAGGGTTCAGGATCTTTACACATAGCTAGATTGAATACGCCTGGATTTCAGGGAACTGCGAGTGATTTTGGTACCCTTTTTCCATGGTCTTCTTTTGCTTTGCTGCAGTACCTGATCTTATCAATGCAAAGGTAGCTGTCCAAGGCTTATGGCCAGTCACTTGGATCAGGAAAATCAATGGGGATGCCAGGAATGGTGGCACATACCTGTAATGTCAGCCATCTAGGAGGCTGGGGCAGGAGGATTACAAGTTTGAGTCCAGCCTAGGTCTTAGTGACTTCACAAGGCCCTGTCTCAAAATAAAAAGGGCACAGGATGTGACTCAGGGCAAAGGCCCTGGGTTCAACCTCCAGTACTGAAAAAGGTCAATGGTGGGGAACATATAGATTCTACTAATTTACCCTCATCAGTTAGAAAGATAAAGGACTCAAAGCTTGTAATTGCATCTTTGGACATATGGCCCAGTAGCAGCAGGAAATCCGTCTTCCAGTAGGAATCATCTCTAAGATTATTACGCACCCGAACACCAGAAATAACATGGACACTGCTAAGACCTCAGGGACTCATGTGATGAGAACGGCCAGAGCTCAAGCAACACGCAACTTATCTCAAAGCCAGGCATCCTGTATGACTTCTGAGGGCTTGGTGCCTCACCAAGTAGATGAACTGCAAGTGAGAGAGGGTGAGAATGAGAGGCTTGGGCTGGCAAAACTTTCTCTATGCTTTTTTAGAGTTTGTATGGGCACATTCTGATTCATACTGCATCTGGATGGGAGTTCTGCCTGTGTTACTGGCGGAGAGAAAACCCTGCAGATTTGGCAGCAACCTGGTTTGGATGGTGGAAGAAAGCCATTGCGTCTGTTCCATACCTTCTGAGTATCAGACACCTTCATGTTTTTTGAGGGTGGAGAAGAAGGTCACGTCCCTCTGAGTTCTGGCACCAGGAGAATGTGGTTAAACTCCTCTGTAGACTTCACACACCCAATCTGTCTCTAAGCCCAGTTTATTCCATGTTCATAACCCAGATCCTTTCCAAACATCTTTCCCTGCCCTCCAGAGATAGGGATGGGATATCAGTGTGCCCCTAGGACCTAATGCACAGTGCCAGGTACCATGTCCCTAACCCAGGGGTTTACGGAATGACTCACATCCTAACCTGGAAGTTGGGAAGTCTGTGGCAGCTTGAAGGTTTCAACAGCAGGGAATGCAGCAGAACTGCTTTCAGGAGGACACACAAGAAAGGAGGGATGGAGATACAGTTATTACCCATCTATAAAAACCCAACATGACTAATTTATAAATGCAAAGGTTTACCACAAATCGTGGGTGGACTGAAATGATTTGGGGAGGAGAAGAAAACTGTGAACAGGTGAAAACATTGCATTACTGGGGAGAAATGGAGGTTGGAGCTCCATGTCCAAGGGCCTCCAGTTCAGTGAGGTTGATGGAGGAAACAGGTAGGGTCTGTGCTGGACCACCGTGAGGCTCACAGAGGGTGGTGCCTGGGCCATTCAGTGTCATGACCTCAGAAGTCTGGTTTCAAAGGTGAACTTCTGACTTGCCCTTTGTGGGACTTCAGGCATGTTATTCTGGAATCCCCAGTTTCACATCTCTCAATGAGGGACAATAATATCTACCTCAGAGACCAAATAGGTCACAAGTGAAAGCATCCAGTCGTTTCTGGCACTTGTAATACATTTGGCCAATGTTAGTTTACCATTATTGTGTCATTTTCTAGCTTGCTCAGTAGACCCTACTTTTTGAAACTCAGATCCATGAAAACTACCTGACACAACTGATGCTCAGTAAGGGTTTGTTTTAATTTTTTAATTTTGAAATAATTTTAGACTTAAAAGTTGTAAAAAGAGGAGAAGAGGGTTGAAGGGCAGGTAGGAGAATGGGAAAAAAAGAATCAAGTTATATCATGTACAGATACAAATTCCCTAGTATGAATGTGATCGTCATGGATACCTAACATGTACCAATAAAAATAATTTTCTCTGAAAAAAAAAGTTGCAAAAATATTGGAGAGTTTTCCTATACTCTGCACCCAGCTGCTGCTAATGTTCACATCTTATCATAACTATAAGACAAGATCAGAACCAGAAAATTAACAGTGACACAATGCATTAACTAAACTGTACACTTTAGTGAAACTAGCTCTCCCTTGACTATCCTTTTCTGGTTTTTTTTTTGTTTTTTTTTTTTTGTTTGTTTTTCTTCCGGTACCAGGAATCGAACTCACGACCCTGCGCTTGCCAGGCAGGCGCTGTGCTGCTGAGCTGAATTCCCAGCCCCCGACTATCCTTTTCTGTTCCACGACCCAAGCCAGGATATTATGATCCATTTTGTTGTTATACTGTCCTTAATAACAGTTCCTAATTTGTGACATTTCCTCAAACTTTATCTTTTAGGACCTTGACACTTTTGATGAGCACTCATTGCTTTGTAGACTATGTCTCATTTGGGTTCGTTTTATGTTTTTTTCATAATAAGATTGGGAATATGGGGGCTGGGGATTTAGCTCAGCGGCAAAAGCGTCTGCCTGGCAAGCGCAAGGTCGTGAGTTCGGTTCCCGGTACCGGAGAAAAACCAAAAAACAAAACAAAACAAAAAAGATTGGGAATATGCCCTTTTCACAGAAATACCACTGCAATGGAACATGTTACTTTTAGTCCCCCTTTTTCTTGTGGTAAATATACACAACATAAAATTTACCACTTAAGGCATTTTAGAGTGTATAATTCAGCGGCATTATTTACCTTCATAATGTTGTGCAAGCACTATGTAATTTACAGTGTCGTGTTACCTCTACTTCTAGACTTTTTCCTGACTCCAAAAGAAAACCCCAAACCCATTAGCAGTCACCCCCCAGTTCTTGCCCCATCCCCTGGCATCCATCAACTGGTGTTCTGTCTTATGGATTTACCTGCTACAGACACTTCATATAATCATATATGTGGCCTTTTGTATCTGGCTTCTTTCACTGAACATGTTTTGAAGGTTCACCCATTTGCGGCATGTGTCACAGTGCTTCGCTCCTTTTTATGGCTAAATAATATTCTATTGTATGCATAACCCATGTTTTACCTTTGTATTTTCTAGTTCCACAGTGAAGCCTGGTGTGGCCTTCCCCAGGGCCGCCTGGTGTGACCTTCCCCAGGGTCGGCCTGGCACATGGAGGAGGGGTGGGAAGGGAAGAGCCCTGTCTGTGACTGTATTGCACAGGAAGGAGAAGGGGTCAGGATAGGGCTGGGGAGTGCAGGATTGTCTTTACACGTAGCGGACTATGGAAGCCACAGTAGAATTGTTCACCACAAGCAGGCTCTTTTGAAAGTTTGATTCGTGGAAAAGGAACAATTGTTCAAACAACCACGCGCCCAAGGAAGGTAGATTCCCCCCTGGGGCTGGTGGTGGTGGTCCTCAGTGGCACCTCGTTTTTCCGAGGCCACCAGAGGCGGGGCTTGGCCTGTGCTGGTCGTCGGCGATCAGATTCAGAGAGGCCCGGGACCTGCATCCATTGCTGGTAGAATGGGGGATTTCCTTTAGGCGAATCCAGTGTTTGAAAACTTAGACGTAGCCAGAAGATGACTACCCCCACCATGCACCCCAGCTACTCTTTTCCTCGCCGGGGCCTCCGGGCTCGCTGCTGGGGCAGGTGGTCTCTGGCCGCTAGGACCCCGGCTTCCGCAGCTGGCGGCCCGGGCGCGGCGTGGCCCGGCCCGGGGCGGAGGGCGGAAC